TTGTAAAATTTACGACGCACGTCGCTAAAAGGCACCGTATCCGTCGCAAACCATGATTTTGTTATGTGGAAAAGAAGAAGATATTCTTAGAGCGTCGCGAGCATCTAGACCGACACGGTAAACGAATAGCGTCTGCCTCATTATGATCATTATTTCTTACTGGTGCCTCCTCTTTGAAGAAAATCCTACGTTTCATATATCCTTTCTCTTTTTATGACGGTAAGGCATTATGCGACAGTGTAACACGAAACTGGCTATCACGTACATACTACCCCTCCCCCCCCCCCCTCCACCCGTATGTATGCGCCATATGTAGCTGTCTATGTTTCACTGAAACCGCTATCAGGAAACTCTCGAGATTTTTTGTGCAAGGCGCGTGTCTGTCTAACAACTGCAAAACATATTATGAAGACAAGATAGCGGTAAATAATATTGGAAAAATAATTCCATATATGTACATGAAAACAGATTTGATCTAAGATTATCTTCAACATATTGATAACATTTACATCGCGACTATGTTTTAACTTGATAAACAATAATTAAAATAAACAAAGAAGAAATATGTCGAAATAATATACAATTGATTTTTGCTGTTTAAATGTCAAATATTTTGCACCATAACAAGTAATTTTGTCTTGCAATCTAGATTCGACACTGCGAACAATCGGGAATGAAAGCGCGAATAAGAAGTACGGGACTAACCACGTATGCAACAACTCCGCATATGTCGCGAATATTTCGTCTCCAAAACGCATGAAGAAACCAAGCGAGCTTGGTACACCGGCAGACATTCGATCGCCGCCGCTTCCCCATTGAGGGCGGGTGTTCCGCGGAAGGATACGATAGAGAAAAAGCGGGAGGGCTAGCGGAGATGAAGGGGTCGAAGAAGGTGGAAGCGAGGGGAAGGGCGGACGGCGAAGGAAGGAAGAAGGAGCAAAAGGAGCGCGGAAGTGGAGGAACCAGAGGCATCATCCGACCCTCGGCTCCCCAGGCGCACCTCTTGCCGCCCCTTTTTCTCTTACCTCTTGCACACTCTTCCTTGCACTACTCTACTAGACCACTCAACGGTACCTCTCCCGTACCCCCCCCCTCCCCCCGCTCTTTGCTCCTCTCGTTCCTTCAACCTTGTTTCTCGCACTCTGTCACTCTTACTTCGCGCCGTGCCTCGCGCGCGACTTCATGCGTTCCGCCAAATGGAGTTACTTTGCGCCTATAATGGTATGTGTGTGCACGCAGTGATAAAACTATTGTTAACCCTTCGTTCAAACTAATTTCGTTGTTCGACATATTTTACAAAGATTCGCGAAAGCACAGTTCGCTAGTTGCAATTATTTGAAACAAAAAAGTACAAGAGATTTATAAACATTTTTAGTATGACACAGAATTACTGCCGAGAGTGACCCCATACGTACCTCCGACTGTACGCGTGCTCAGCAATTCAGCCCTTTTCATTAAAAACGTTAATGACAATTACCGTCGTCATTACGGCCGGCCAACAACCACAATTGCACAAGATCTCGCGGAGAAACGGGTAAATTTAGGCGTAATTAAATGCACGCGTCGCCTTTGATATTATTAAAGTTACAACGCAGAAGTGTATTTAATTAACTTCCGATATTGGCGCCGGTACGATCGCATCGGACGGACGGACGGATCAATTTACGTCGAATTTATTGTGCGCCGTTGTTACCCGCTGTATTTATAATTCAACGGTACATCGGGTTAATATTAAATATCGAATTAGTGTGTTCAATCAACCGCGAGCGCGGAACGCTTTGTCGGAAATTTATAGAAATTACCACTATTTTTGAGTTTTAATAAAGGTCGCCGGGACGAACGGAATTTTATTCGTTCGCGTTCGTTAATACGGTCAATTTATCTGAAATTTATTTACACATCATTGCGTAGTGACTAAATATCGAAAGTAAGTGCATTGCATTATCGTCAAATATCGCCAGCCAATTTATTAAACAAAGAGCCAATTTATTAAACGGTGATGTATCCTGTTAAAAATTATATGAACTTTCGCGCGGACTCCGCATTGGCGTAATTAAGAATTCTTAATATAACGAAATAATAATGATTCAACTAAAATGAAGCTAATTTCCCAGCCCAACTTTAATTTCGCCAGGCATTATTACTATTCTGTGCTCGGAGTAATTTTGACCGAACGTGTAGTTACATTATAATTCATTATAATGTTCATATTTTACTTTAAAAATGAATATAATACTAAATGTAATTGTAAGTACATACAACTTTATTTTATTAAAAATATATATGTAACATAAAAGTTAAAAAATAATAATATTCTGTTCGAGTATCTAAAAAAATATTAATTTTTTAATGTAGATTATTTTTAATTAAAAGCTTTATATATAAAAATCGCTATGAGCACGCACCAAAATATCGATTTGAAATTCAATTCAAAAATTGCAAAACTAAATAAATTTCAGTGAAGACAAATTGACCGTTTTATTGCGTGACTGTAGCAATAATGTATTAAGTATATCCTCGTATCTTTTGTTCCCCGCGTGCAAATAAAACGCACAGAATTAGAACAGCACACGCGGTCAATTTCCAAACTTTTTACACACGATATCGGGAATAAAATTGCGTCCATTTGTCGCGCCCTTTTACTACGGAATCACGTGCCGTGTGGCCATAATACGAGTGATTGTAGTTTGCCTTTCCATGAATTTGTAAACACGAGTGCGATTTTAATCGATGTCTGGCCAATAAAAATACGAAACGAAATGAACGAAAAGACACACATCTAGCTCCACTCATCCACTTATATAGCTCACGCACATTTTGCCTTTAGAAATATGAACGTGCTTACTAGCCTCGTTTATTACACCTAAAAATAATTACGCTTCTAAACTCATACGGTAATTACTTTATCAAATATCATGTGTGTACCATATATCTTTCCATTGCGATAATTAAAACGTGCGCGATAATAAAAACGGCAATAAGTATTCATGGAACGTGAATAATATGTAAATATTTAATTGATTCTTTTTCCAATATAAAATTATTATGCTTTTTGAGACCGTAATACTATTTTCATAATAAATAGTATATTCAGAGCAAAAGCTTATTTTAAAATATAGAAATATACTAATGGTTATTACGCGTAGTTACACACATACATATATCATACAGATTTTTCAACGGCTCGAACCAGAGTTGCCATTCCGCATTCGCGTCGGAAATTCGGCTAATTCGATGTGCGAACTCACACTGCGGAATCGGCTGTACCGCGCGGAATAGTAATATCGGGACGGTCTTAACCCCCGTACAAGTAAGATCTAATGAAGCAATTCAACTGCAACCGCAGCCCACTTCAAAGTTTTGAGAAACACCGTATTGTACTGCCAGTATATTACAAACTGCAATGGCGGCCATACCGATGCCGCAGCTCGATTATATTTCGTGAACTATTAGACTCGGAGCGATCGAACATGCGGTGTGCAATATGGAGTGCCGACATCGCCGAAAACATGAACCTCTTGCATTCAAACGTGGCAATTCGCATGATAACGTTGCGATTATTATAGTTTTAGAAAATATTATTCAACACTTTTATCGCTATAAATACTAGTGGTATTGATACACTAGATTTTTCAAAAGAAAAAAAAAATCACCATTTTTCTAGTTTTAATAGATGAGATAAAAATGGAAAAAAAATATTGTTTTGGAGAAAAATATACCTATAAAATAAAAATCTAATTTATAAACCATCACTGAAAACATGAACCTTTTGCGAGTGTGATAACAGGCAACGAAACCAGATTTTCGCAAAAATTTTTCGATATTTTTATTTATATACGAAATACCAGTAGTATTAACACACAATATTTTTTGTTGAAAGAATTCAACGTTTATCTAGCTTAATTGAATAAGATTGAAACTACAAGATTTTATTTCAAAGAAAAATACATCCATATGATAAAAAAACTAATTTATAAACCATGAAAATATGAATCTTTCACACTTGTATGTAAAAATCTATATAATGACATGTCACAAATACCAGATATTTAGAAAAAATTTTTATTTGTACAGAAAATACCACTAATATTATAAATGCTTTTTGACAAAGAAATTAAAAAATAATTTTTCAATTTTTAATAGAAATTAAATTTTTTAAATCTTATCTCTCATAAAAAAGTTTATCTCAAATATATGTACACAAATCTAATTTATATGGTCGTCCCCGAAAAGCATGAATCTTTCGTGTTAAATAAAATTTTAATATTGTGTGTTCTTTGTATAATATTAAAAAGATATAAAAATTATTTCAAGCGCATTAACGACAACAGTTAAATTATTCGAACATCTGACTTTTGTTTGAAATAGTCTTTTTATCGGTCGATCTAAACTTTCGATATCTACTTTGACTTTACGTTGAAACGAAGTTTGTCTTTCGACTTTCTAAGTTCAGTGCTGAACTTTCTTTTCATTACATCTTCCACAATAAATCCATTTTTACATTTATTCAACTGGCAAACGTAACTATTGTTTTCAACACGCAAGAGACTAACGATCGATAAAAAGTTCATTAAAAGTTCATATTTCCACCGCAAATTTAACGTTCAATCTGAATATCGAATTCTGTGATTCTTGCTAACACTAAAGAATAACCATTCATCATCATTAAGCATTCGTCTCTCTTTAACTCTACTTTAACATTAAGATAATAACAAGATAAACGTGACGATTAAAGCAAATTTCAATTTCTCGAAGAAACTTGGTGCGTTCTAGTCGGTTATTGCAACAAAGATAATCACGTTTTGCAAAAGATTCAAGTTGTCGTCAAGGCAACACTATCATCACTGTTAGTGGTATAGGCCGAATTTATCAGCGGCGGTGCTCTTTCCGCGACGCAACCACAATGTATTGAGTAACAATTATCAGCCGCAAAAGCGGCACCAGTGTGGCCCGCTCCGCACGAACCGTGATCGCACAACAGACACGGAATTACTACTCACCCTATCCGCGCCTGGTTACATGCTCCGGCTCCACTCGCCTTGCCGATTAGTCACGAGATCTCACGGGGGATGAAGAGCCGCGGTGCGCCGGGTCGGATCGGCGACCGTGCTGTGCCGTGCTGTCGTCCGTGTCGGCCGATCGTGCCACAAAAGTCCGTTTCATTCACCACACCTGAAACGTGTATCCACCGACGACGTTACATAAAGAGTTAAGTGAGCGCGCAGTATGAGCGCACGCGACGCGCTCGCCGCCGCTCGCGTGAGTCGTTGATTCGTTATACGAAGAGGTGAGTGAACTTTTTATTAATAAAGCTCGCCGACGACGTCGGGAAGCCCGCGCGAGAACCGAAAAGCGACGACGACAACAACGACGACGACGACGACGACGACAACGACGACGACGACGACGACGACGACGACGACGACGACGTTCCAATCGCGGCTCGCCGACTGCCGACGTCCCTCGACGGCAACGGCGACCGCGGCTGTCGGCGCGACCAACCCTTTGCCGCGCGCTTGCGCGCCACCCCCCCAGATGCGCCGCCACCCTCGACGTCGTCCTCCCTCTCGTTCTCGCTCCCTTTCACCCCCTCGCCCGCCAATCACGACTGCTTTTACAATGCCTCGAAAAAGGTAGTGTCCGCAACAAAGAGCAGAGTGCCTTTTCCGGCGGTGTTTTTTCCTAGAAAAGGATGCGCTCCTGCCAGTACGTGTCAAAGGCGGGAAATTTAAATGATAATGAAAGAGCGACATGACGACGCGCGTCTGCGTCGCGACGCTGCTTTGCGTCCTACCAACGGATTTTGCATTACTTTATCTTATAAAGAAGCCGGACGAAAGGAAAATTTTTCCGCGATTCGGATCCTTTGTTAAAAATATTAGCGTCATTAACGATACGGACATCAAAACGACGTACTTTTACCGGATCGAATCCATAATGCTGGAAATCTTTGTAGAAACGACAAACGTGTGGTCGAATACGACTACGAAAGATAAGTCGAACGAGTAAGTTGAATACCGAAAGTCTTGCTCTTCGTTCTGGAGACATTTTTAAGAGAAACAATATACCCTTGCCGATACGCGCTACATTCTCACGTTCTGCACGTACGCTTCGTACCAGCAATGACATACATCATTGACACGTGTCACTTCGACACATGACGCACTTTAAAGTGACTTTTCAAAAGTCTACCGTTCCGATAAAACGTATTTTAAATTTGGCAACGTATCCGATCAATATTATATAAAGCACATGTAAATTTTTAACGATCCAAGTATTTTGTTATTTTTAGGAGACATCGTATTACACAATTTGCCAAAAAAGTCCCGATTAGAAATCGGATTCGTGATGTTAATCATTAATTATGTAAATGCGATAGATCCACGTCATACATTGGCACAGTATTATCGCCAATTCTCTAGGTTGACAATAGTAGCGAGTCCGATAGATAATTAATGACATAGCTGGCATTAATCAATCATGTAAATGCTATTAATATCCAACAATTGTCGACACTATAATCCGCAAAGATGAGATATACTGTTAATTTAGCTTTTAACGTACTCGCGCGCATTAATACGCATTTCAAATAGCTTCGTAAGATATCTAACACGCACTTCTCGCGTTCGTTAAATATTATTGGTCTCATCGTACTTTTTAATAAAAGGATATGATATTGCTCGCCGCGAAGAGACACGTACGCTATATACTCGATGCACATCGATGCGCCCGCGCGCCGATGACCCAAATCGGAATTTATTAGAATACGAGGTATAAAGGTTACGCGCGAGAAAAATGAAGGTGCGGTGGAGAATCGTGTCTGGTCATAAGCAGCGATCTGAGATAGTACGTGGGCGGACGGCAACGTAAGATATATCCACCTCGTACGCGGCGCATACACCGGGTGTATCTGGGGACTTGGGTCTCTTCGGCGTTTCGCCCGGTCTATGGAACCGTCGCGCGTGTTTGTACGTTACGTACGTGGCGAGCTATGACGGGAGATAGTGAAATGTAGTGCGCTGCGACTGCGGGCGCGCGCGGCACGGCGGGCCGTCGAAATTATTCGCGTTCGAGATAACTCGACTTAACGACATCCACGGGCGATACTTCAACGCGCGAAGCACGGAAAATTGCGCCGATAATGTCTGCATACACGCGCGTTATTCCCGCGTCGGATTACATCTCGGATAATTGACCTCGACCGACAAAAACTTCCATTTGGATCCGCGATGGTGTTTTCGAAGCAGTCGAGATTTTAAATAGCAACGATAAATGCGACTCTGTCGGACGAAATAACGAGATTACTGAAACCCATTTTGTCCCAACAAAATAATACGTCTTCTACAATTCTTTAAAATGCTAGCCTTAATAACGAATCGACTAATTGTTCTTAATTAAGGCGCAACCTTTCTCTCAAAATTACTCAGCAAGAAATATCGGTGGGATTATATCACGTGATAACAGAAAGAGGTATACCAGCGACGCACTGGATATTAGTTATGCTAATTGAACCTACGTGCCGTGGAAGTGTAAGCGACTCGATCGCGTAACATACCTACATTTGTAAGCCGGCGTTTAATTCCCCGTATAGATCCCACCGTCGCGATACCGTCGCGTCCCACACTCACTCGGTATAAATTCAAACGCGTCCGGCGAAATGAGCTTTTTGTTATTTCCTTTCTCTTTCTTTCCTCTTTTTTCCTTTCTCTTTTCTTCTTTTTTTTATTTTATCTTTTATTTTTGTGGAACAGTAACGGCGCGGATCAATACGATGACGGGCTGTTTCCGCTTAAGCGGATTTTCACGGCGTTATTTTCGCCGTACTCGCGAGCTGGTTAACTCCGCTCGCTGCCGGCGCGTCCACGGTCTGCGGGGAGAGCAGAATGCATGTGCTCAAAGCGCGCAGAAACAAGCCTGCAGACAGCCAGGTCTCGTCTCCGCCACCATCGCCACCACCCTTTCTCCCTTCCTCCGAACTCACCCCACCGGAGAGCTTGCTCTTTTTCTCTCCCTACTATTCCTTTGTCCCTCTTTCGTGAGCGAGCTGCCAGTGAGGCAGCGAGATCGGAACTCGTCGCACACGTCCGCGCGCGTAGCTACACGTATGCTCACATAGGAAATGGGAAAACGAAATGAACCGTGAATAATTATGTATTACTTTTAATGCTTCACGGTTTACAGGAACGTGACCGCCGATGCCGGAGAAATATTAACGTCAAAGGTACTTCCTTCATTTTCTCCGGATGTAGTATACCGCCGCGGTATACGCCGCATCGCCGTCTCGGAGCCAGGGATCAAACGATGCACGAGAGATTCGACGTATAACGACTTCTTTTTTCTCGGCCCCGTGAAGCGCTTCCTGTGCTTCCGCGCACGTACGCCGCGATATAACGTGGAATATCGAGATAAGAATTCATCCGATCATTATAATTTAGCATAAAATACGCCGGAGGGATCGCGCGCGCTCGATCGCCTGGCGTATATAAACGCAAAAATTTATCTTGAAGTAATTTAAGTCGCGCAGCTCGAATCTGCGCTTTAATTAATAATTTAAAGAGCATTTTAATTTTGTCACAATTTTTAAATTATTATTCTGATATTTGTCACATATCTGCTATTTCGACCGAAAACCCCGACTGTCTCTTGCAGTTATAAAAATGTTTCACGATTGCTGGACATTTGACACTCGTATAGTCTTACGTCGCGCGCTAGCATCTCACACGAGTATAAATTTATTATCCGCGCTCGAAAAACTCACGTAAAATCTTTTGAAACAATACGCACCTGAGAATTGTTAAGGGTTCCGGAACGTATGTAAATAGCGCTGTAAAAGATGTGAAAGATCAGAACTTGCGGTACCGCCCGCAGGCGGGTTTTATAATCACTCGCCGAGGTGGATCGGGGCAAGTTTCCGCTGCCCTTCGTCGCCCTTTCACACCGTTGAATCTAATTACGGGAACGTCAGTTTCGCGAACTTTGCTAGGTTTTACATCTTTATACACCGTGCCACGGTATTACGGCAGTTTTGCATCAGCATCGAGAAACGTATCTTCCGCGCGATATTAACTGCAAATTTGTTCCAACAACAATGCAGCCTCGACATCACAAATTAATCCAGTGAAAATAATGTCATCTAAGTTTTTAAATGATAAAATTGAATAAGAAATTAAATAACATAGTATATAAAAGAGAGAAACAACAAGCAAAAGTTACATTGTATAGTGAGTTTAGATAGTTCAATACTCGATAGTCCGAGGCGCCGTGCAGTTCAACCCACCTTTAAGAAGACTATTGATAGTTCTTTTTTCAGAACAAAGTAACTTTCTTACTCTTTTTAAAGAGTCTCGCTATCTAAATAGTCTAAATACAATCATCAATACAAACACGTTCTATAGTTAATTTCAAGTAACATTATGTACCGTCTTTTCTCCTTTTTTTGCCTCGAGTTCCGTATAGTTCGAGTTTTCGGTAGTTTGAACTAATATCTTTCTTGTTCTATTTCATTTTAAGCTATCAAAACTTTATCGAAGTTCATAATTTCAATACTGCTTTATAAAGATCTCATTTAAAACAGTAAATGAATTCCGCTATGAAATGCAACGCGCTTTCGAAATTATTGTTTAAAATATGGATGAATTATTCGCACCTTCCGTTAAAAAAATGCGCACGTATTCAAGTCGCGTGGAAAGCAATTGATTTATCTGTCTTTTCGTCGGCATTTCCCGAGTCCAAGTTGGCACGAAGGGGAACCTTAAGCATCCTTCGCTTGTTCGCTTTGCTGTTCAACAAACTATCATCAAAGAAGTTTTAAAGCCGACCGAAAGCAGCGCCATCGGCAGACAGATGACTCCAGACTTTTATTCGCACAAAGCACGTAATGTTTTGTATGAAAGTCTATTAAGAAAAGAAGACCTCGCAGCCATTTAAAGCAGCTATCAGTTATTTACTCAATTTGTGAAATAATGAGCACTGTATTAAGAGAGAAAAAAAGTAAATAAATAATAAGAAACATGTAAAACATTCTGTACTCATTTTATAATAAAAAAAGGCAAAAGCATCGATCGTGAAGAGAGAGATTTACGAGATATATGTAATTTATTGTGAAAGTGGCCGAGAAATAGCATCATTTTCTTTAATGACTAATAGCGAAATTGCATCGATAGAATTACCAT